CGTCCCTGCGAACTCCCCGGCAGGTTGTCAACTCAGAGGACGTCTTCTGGAAGTGCAACCTGGGCTACCCCCACACCTCCCACTGCCTGGGCAGCGGCGAAATCATGATCAGCACCTTGGGAGACCCGGCCGGCAGCGGGAAAGGTACCCCAGTCCCCCCAGTGTCCCCCATCCCCCAGGGAGAGGGTGTTGGGAGAGGAGGAACAGTCCCCACATCCTGGTGGCTTTGTCCAGGACTCCCAGCCTGTGCAGCAGCCTGGTCTGCAACACGTTGATCTGTCTACTGCTTGTTTTAGAATACATAAACTGTTTATCTGGATGATTTCCTCACTACCTATGTGGTTTTGGTTTTGCATCAGGCGGCTTCATTCTGCTGGATGGAGAGACCTTCGAGATCAAGGGGAACTGGGAGAAAGGGGACAAGATCCCCCCGATGGGTTATGACTTCTGGTACCAGCCACGCCATAACGTCCTGATCAGCACTGAATGGGGAATCCCCAAATGCCTGGGATATGGGTTTGACCCAAATGATCTGAAGAAAGGTGAGAAAACAGTTGTTTAAATACTCCAGGTGAGAGATGCTGGGCAGAACCACAAGATGGCCCAATGCAGTCTAATGGACATAGGTTAAATTGTCCAAGACAAATTGCTCGTAAAACAATTTCACACCAATTCCTAGAGATCTCATGGATTTAAAAAAAGACGAGCCCAGCCCATTTACCGTGAACGCACTTTAGATGCAGTCACCAGAAGTTCAGCCTTTGACAGTCCATAAATGCTGCTGCTGAGCTGTATGTGGGGTTGGATTTCGGCCGCAGGGATGGAGGGTGAAGCCCCATCTCAGCCCAGTTCCCCCTCAAAGGTTATACTGCCCAGCCCAGTCCTGTCCTGGCGAGATGGTCCCCATTGGATGCTGGGCACCTTCCCGTGGCTTTTGCCAAGGTCAAAAGCAACCAGCGTGTGCTGGTACAGCGACCATGGGGTTGCCCCTGAGGAGCTAAAAGGGCTGAGAAACCCATTGCACATCGGCTTGAGATCTGTGCCTCGCAGCATCCCCTCCGATTCCCCCTCCCAGGGCGCTACGGACGCCGCCTCAACGTGTGGGACTGGACCACTCACACCTACGTCCAGGCCATCGATGTCGGGGAGGACGCGGCCCCTCTGGAGATCCGCTTCCTCCACAACCCCGACGCCGCCGAGGGCTACGTGGGCTGCACCATCAGCAGCGCCATCCACCGCTTCTACAAGACCGAGGTAGGTGCTCCCCCAGGGTCAGCGGAGAAGGGCTGCTGCCCCTTGGCTGGCCGAGCCGCAGGACGCTGTGCAGCATCCCTCTTCCCGCATCCCCCACCGTCCTCCCGGTCCCCACCAGTGCACACACCGCCTCCCCGTGCTGTGCAGCCGCCTCTCTGCACCCAGAACATGAGCTGGCTCGGGGTAATCTCACCAGAGGACTTGTTCTGACTGGCAGCAGTTTAGGCTGAAAAGATTTAATTTAAAGGAGATTTATTTATACCTTTGTTGTGGATTTACAACAGCCCAAGCAATATTCTTCTCAGTGTCTGTTGTTGTGTGTAATGATGAAGTGGGTGAGAAAAGGGAACGCCTTTCACCAAACCAGCTAATCTAGCTGGAAAATTAGACAAGTGTTTGGCCCCCAGAGCCCTTACTCAGGTCCCAGAGCCCGTCTTCCCCACGGCTCCGCAGAGCCAGAGGTGAGGTTTCCCGCAGCTCCAAAGTAGCTGAGCTGCAGCCGGAGACAAGAGGTGGTGGACACGTGCACGGAGCATCCGCCCCGGCATTGTGTCTCCTCCTGCCGCTGCCACGCACGCTGAGCCCCCCGGGGCCATGTTCTGTCCCGCACCTCCTGCAGCGCGGAGACTGGGCGGCCGAGAAGGTGATCCAAGTCCCCAGCAAGAAGGTGGAGGGATGGCTCCTCCCGGACATGCCAGGTCAGTGCACCCTGGGGCTGGGTGCTGCGGTGCTGCCCGGCTTCCCCCGGGCGCTGCCGGTGCTGTCGCCCGTTTGTGCAGCTCTGTCGTACCTTCCCCAAGGCTTCATCACCGACATCCTCATCTCGCTGGATGACAGGTTCCTGTACTTCAGCAACTGGCTGCACGGAGACATCCGCCAGTACGATATCTCTGACACCCGCAAGCCCAAGCTGGTGGGACAGGTGAGGTGGCAGCAGGTTCCCGGTCGCATCCCGGTGCTTTTCCTCCATCTCCCGGGGATGGCGGGAATCAGCCCCTCCTCGCCACCTCGGCCACCCAGACCTGTGGTCTCTTGCAGGTCTTTGTGGGTGGCAGCATCACCAAGGGGGGACCCGTCACGGTGTGCAGGGACGAAGAGCTGCAGAGCCAGCCGGACCCGTTCTTCATCAAGGTGAGCTCAGCCGTCTCCCCAAAATCCCAGCGGCGGCAAGGCTGGGGAGCGGGTGCCTGCGGTTCTGCTCCACCGCACCCCACGGGATGGACACGGCATCCCACGGGATGGACACCGCATCCTGCACTGCCGGTTGAGGGGAGGTGGAGGCGTCCCCCGGTCTGGCACCCTCCGGCAGCACGTCTGCTCCTCCATCCACTCCCAGGGGAAGAGAGTGCCGGGGGGACCCCAGATGATCCAGCTCAGCTTGGACGGGAAGAGGCTGTACGTCACCACGTCCCTCTACAGCGCCTGGGACAGGCAGTTCTACCCCGACCTCCTCAAGTAAGAAAACTTTGATAAACGAGGATGACTGCAGGCGCTTGGGGGGTGGGAGACGCAGACCCCGCAGCTCGGGGACCGAATTTCGGCGGCTCCCCGGAGGCAGGGGCAGGTCCGTCCCCGCGGGGTGGCAGGGACGCCCGGCTGCGCCCAACGTCCCCGCTCTCGCCCCTCCGCAGGGACGGCTCCGTCATGCTGCAGCTGGACGTGGACACGGAGCAGGGCGGCCTGAGGGTCAACGGGAGCTTCCTGGTGGATTTCGGGAAGGAGCCCGAGGGGCCCTGCCTGGCGCACGAGATCCGCTACCCCGGCGGGGACTGCACCTCCGATATTTGGGTCTAGCCGCCTTCCGCCGCCCCCAAAGCCCCTCCTCCGCACCCCAAAATCCCAGCGCACGAGGGCTGTGGGAATTTCACACGCTCAACAAACCGCCGGTGACCCGTGCGTCCTGCGCTTGCTTAAATAAAACCGAGAGGTCATCATCCTCCTCCTCTTCCTCCTCCTCCGCCACAGCTCTCCCCGCCTCAAATCTTGTTTTTAAACTGTTTTCCGGAGCCAAAAAACAAACGTGTGGCCAAACCGGGGACAGGACACCGCGACGCGAATCCCGAACAGAGGGGATTTTCCCAACGCGCCCCCGGTGCCGCTTTTGCTCCCGAAAAACCCGTCCCGGTTTCGACGCCGGGCGTGGGAACCTCTGGCTTGCACGCACACGTGCACACAGCGCACACGCGTGTTGCTTTGCACGCACAGGTTGCACGTACACGCATGCCACGCACGCTTCGTGCATCAGAGACACACACACGCACACAGGTACGTTGCACGCGCCCCGCACACACGTGTCGCACGCGCCCCGCACACACGCCCCACGCGCGCCGGCTCGTTTACACGCGTGCTT